GCTTGGTGAGGTGGACGGACGGTGGGTGACAGCACGGTTCCGTCGTTCCACCTGCTTCCAGCCCTGGTCTAAGAGCGTGACTCCGCGTCTCCTGGCGGTCTGGGCTGAGCTGGTTCTAAGCAACACTCATCGCGACTCAGGTCCGCAATTCCTGCCTGTGTATTCTCTTTATTTTCACAAGACCCCTACGGGGGAGGTACTAATGCAGAGATGAGCTGACCCCCGTCACACAGCAATGGCAGGGCTGAGAGCTCAGGCCTGGCTGTCTGGGGCCAGAGCCGCAGCCTCTGCACGCCTGGTGCCTCCCCGGGAGACCGTCCCCAGCCGGTGCAACCACTGCAGGAGGGCCCTGCGGCATTGAGGGGCTCCAGCGATGTTGGAGACCACTCAGGGCCGGAGAAATGTATGTGTTATTTAAGAGAGAGAGCGAGAGAGAGACTCCCATTTACTGGTTGACTCCATCCAGCCTTGCCATATGAATGACAGGAATCCGATCACTTGGACCCTTACCACTGCTGCAGGGTTTGGAGCAAGGAGCAGCAAATGTAGAAGTTAGGTCCCTGAACGAGGCACGAAGCTGGTTAACTGTGAGACTTAACGCCTGCCCCGCAAGTCTTACGTGAGGGGAACCAAGTTTTGGCGCAGCTGGTTAAGCTGACTGCAGCATCCCATACGGGCGCTGCTTAGAAGTGGCTGTTCCACGTCTGTCCCAGCTCTCTGCTAATGTGCCCAAGCAGGCCCAGGCGCTTTGGTCCCTGCTATTCACATGGCTAATGCTTCAGCCTGCCCGGTTTCGCCTATTGCGGCCATCTGGGGAGTGAACTAGCAGATGGAAGATCTCTCTCCCTCTCCCCATAACTCTGTCTTTTAAATAAATAGATATTGGGCCCGGCGGCGTGGCCTAGCGGCTAAAGGCCTCGCCTTGAATGCACCGTGATCCCATATGGGCGCAGGTTCTAATCCAGCTCCCTGCTTGTGGCCTGGGAAAGCAGTCGAGGACGGCCCAAAGCTTTGGGACCCTGCACACACATGGGAGACCTGGAAAGAATTTTCTGGCTCCTGACTTCGGATTGGCGCAGCACCGGCCATTGCAGCCATTTGGGGAGTAAATCATCGGACGAAAGATCTTCCTCTCTGTACATCTGCCTTTCCAATAAAATAAATCTTTTTTTAAAAAAAATAAATAGGTATATCTTAAAAACAAACATGCTTATCACATCTCCCATTAACTTTAAAAATATTTATTATGTGTTGGAAAGACTGATGAACATAGTGGAAAATCTTCCATCTGCTGGTTTATTCTGCAAATGCCCATAGCACCTGGGGCTGGGCCAGCCCAAGGCTGGGAGCCAGAAACCCCACGTGGGACAAGAAGCCAGGCACTTGGGCCATCATCGGCTGCCTTGAGGACAGGAGTGCATAGAGGCTGGGCTCACACTGGGCACCCTGGGTGTGGGGGACAACTCTGTCCGGGCCCCTTATCTGGGAGGATTTCCTGCTTGGGGGGCTGCACGTCTCCCTGTTGCTCAATGTTTCAGTGGGCTGACTCCTTCCCAGGCCCCAAGCCAGACCACCGTTTCCCCCAGGCACTGTCATTAGGGACAGGCATGGGACCAAGCTGGCTGAGCCAATCCCAGAACTTGATGGATCTCTAGGCCAGCTGTAGCTGACGCGTCAGGATGTATATCTGTTGCTGCCGCTGGCTGGCCTGCCAGGTCCTGACGACAGGGAGACCCTGGAAGGAAAGCCAGCGTCAGTACGTGCAGTGGTTTCTCGGCCTTTTGGCTAAGATCCTGTGTCGCATCTGCCTCCAGGTACCACGGAGCATGAGTGTCCCCAGGTGCGCCAACCCAGTCCCTGTTGGAGCTAACCACTTTGATCTGGATTTCCTGTAGTTGTAGGCAGGACCTCACACATTGGGAGTTGGGTAAAACGTTGGCCTTGGAACGTCAGACATCTGATCCTGTCTGATTCATATGGTAGGTGCTCTCACGGCCACCCAGAGCATTTGACAATAATAAACAATATGGATCCCAAGCAAGCATTGAAGGCCTAGGATGCTGCATCTTATACTGAGTAATTAAGGACATTTCTGAGAAAGAAAAATTGGCCCTGCTCTGCATGTAACCACCAGTTCATAAGCTTGAGCTAGTTGCAACAGCACCTCTGTTCTTCTTAAGTTTTACTTATTTATTTGCTAGGCAGAGTCACAGAGAAACAGAGACCTATTGACTGGCTCACTCACCAAATGGCGACAGGCTCACAGGGCCTCCCGATTGAGGCAGGCGGTCCTGCGCTGAACATCCCTAGGGATGCCTCTGTTCCGTACTGAAGGCTGCAGTAGAGTGCCGGTCGCCTGTCTGATTCCAGCTTCCCGCTAATGCTCACGCTGGCAGGCTGCAGACCATGGCTCAGGCATGTGGGTCCCTGCCCCCTGGCACCCATGTCGGAGATGCAGGCTCAGTTCCTGGTTCCTGGCTTTTGCTGTCTCAGCCCTGGTTGTTGGGGGCATTTAGGCAGAGATTCAGTATAGAAGATCTCTGGTCTGCCTTTTAAATAAGGGGAAAAAAAAAAGCCAGGGGACAATGCAACGGCTTAACCGGCTATTCTTCCTCCAAGCATGGCATCTCATGTGTGTGCCAGTTCATGTCCCGGCTGCTCCACTTCCCATCCAGCTCCCTGCTTGTGGCCTGGGGAGAGCAGGAGAGGGTGGTCCAGGTCCTTGGGACCCTGTACCCGTGTGGGAGACCCGGAAGAGCTCCTGTCTTCAGATCAGCTTAGTTCCAGCCACTGCAGCCATTTGGGGAGTGAACCAGTGAATGGAAGAACTTTCTTTTTGTGAATCTGGCTTTTCAACAAAAAGAGAGAAATCTTAAAAAAAAAAAAAAAAAAGCCTGTGGGATCACAGTAGCCTGCTCCCTTGCCCTTCTCTTTGTTGCCTAGTGGGAGGGGTTGATGCCGACATCTGAGGCAGCATGGCAGGACTCTGTGGGAGACTGCTCCAGGACAGCCCAGAGCCTTGGCACCCTGCACCCGTGAGGGAGACCTGGAAGGGGCTCCTGGCTCCTGGCTTCAGATCGGCTCAGCTCTGGCCACTGAGGCCACTTGGAGAATGAACCAGCAGACGGAAGATCTTCCTCTCTGCCAATATTTTACAATAAAAAATAAAATAAAATCAAGCTGAGCAGAGGGTCGGTCTGGTAGCTGGAGAGCATCAGCAGGTTAATCCTCCACCTGCAGGCGCCAGCATCCCATATGGGTTCTGGTTCATGTTCGGTCTGCTCCACTTCCCATCCCGTTGTCTGCTTACGGCCTGGGAAAGCAGTGGAGGACAGCTTGAGTCTTTGGGACCTTACGCCTGCATGGGAGAGTGGGAAGAAGCTCCTGGATTCAGATTGGCTCAGCTGGTACAGTTGTAGCCATTTGGAGTCAGTCACGTTCCTTCTCTCCGTGACTCTGCCTTTCTAACAAAAATAAATCTATTTGTTTTTTGAAAGTTGAGAAGGAAAAGGTCATCTCTCCTTACGCACATGCAGTCGTTTGTCCAAGGGACGCTTTATAACCCACCACTCTGGACCTTAGGGACGGGGAGAGGCACAAGGCTGGGAACGTGCCAGCCTCTCTGCTGGCCTTCCTGCTGCCCTCCTGATCGGCTCTGCTGCGTTCCTTGCCCACACAGCAGCCAGAGTGATGTTCTCGGGCCTACAGCGGATGTGCAGCCTCGGCCCTCCCAAGACCCCAGGAGGCCCTGTGCTATGAGAGGTGCAGGAGTTCAAGACGGACATCCCAGTTCCGGCAGCGACAGGAGTGGTCTGTGAAGGTACAGTCTGGCTTCTGAAAGAGATTCTTTATTTGGATGATTCAGTGGCCAGGAGACAGAGCATAAGCACACGTATCTACACCCACACACAAGGCAGTTCCTGGGCGAAGAAGGCATGGGGGGCAGGGGCAGGAGGCCCCAAGGGCAGCTATGGCCTTCTTTGACTCAAAAGGAGAGGGGCCTCAGATGACGCTGCTGGAATTCTTGCTTGAAAGTTACAACGCAAAATTCACTCTGGGTGCAGTCGCAGAGATCAGCAGACTAAGAGACATTCTGCAAGCTCTACGAGCCCGCACTGCGCTCTCCCCACTTCCCTGGGGGCGATGAGGGAAGACTAGCACCTGGGCAGGGAGCTGCGGGCTGCAGGGCAGTGGGGACTGCTGGGCCAGCTGGTCCGAGGCGCTGTGTCCCTATGGCATGGACCATCAAGACCAGCTCATGGGATCTTCCCACATACCTCTAGCTCGGGCCCCTCTGATGGTTAGGGGGAGCAGGGCCCTTATTTCAGCCTCCCACGCCCCTATGGGGCACCGAAGTGCCCTCCGGCTGCAGCCCGCACCCAGCTCCTGTAGATCCTTAGCACCATTCGCGAGCTGTGGGGAGGGGTGGGTGGCTGACAAAGTCCTGCTAGGGCTGGGTCACTGCTCCAGCAGCCAGCCCAGCTGGCCAGTATGTGGTCCAAGGCTCGGGAAGCCCACACTTGTCTGGGTGCTGGGAGTGTCACATCAGCTGAGGGCACACACTTTGCACCAACCATACCCTGCCTGGCTAAAATCTGGCACCAAAGCTGCAGGCTTCGCCGGAGACACCTGGAGGCCGGAAAGAGCTCAGGTCTTTAGCTGAAGGACCTGGCCTGCAGGGGAGACGAGAGCAGGGCGTCTTAGGACACGTGGCCAGAGGGCTGGTATGGGGGAAGGCCACCTCCAAGGTCACCCCTAGTCCTCTCCAGACTTCTGCTTCCAGTGTCATGACCGGCAGGGAACCCCTCTATGGACAAGGTTGTGGTCCGATATCCCATCTCAGGTCTGTCTACAAGGGAACTTCAAAAAGCTCATGGAAAACACATGTCAGAAAAACTATGTGTGGGTTTCAAACCTTTTTGCACCAAAATAAACACATCTCTTAATTCCATTTTTTTTTTTCCACCAGCTTTTTGAAGCATCCTCTTATTCTCCTGCTGTGAGGAAGAGGGAAGAGAGAGCCACGTGACGGTCACAGGGAGCTGGCTAGCGGAGCCGGGCGGGGACCTCTACTCTCCCAGGGCGGCGGCATCCTGTTGCACGGGTTGCTGTGGTGCTGGGATCTGGCCCAAGGGTGACACGGTTGTTTTTGGTGACCTGCAATGGAGAAAGCAGACAGGCACAGGGTCAGTGGGGGTACTCGCAGGCATAGCCAGCAGTGGGCAGCTTCTTCTAGGACACAGGAGCAGGAGCACTCGGCTTCCCTCCTCCCACTTGGTCTCAGGTCAGTTCTGCCCCGTGAGGAACAGCACTCCAATTGGACACCCGAGGACATTCCAGGCGGTTGCTGTGGCCAGCTCTAGGGCAGGCCTGAGCTGGGGGCCGTTCAGTGCTGCTACTTCCTCTCCAGTTCACACTCGCTGGGCCCAGCACCACACGCTGCTGTCTCATTTGCTCGTGTATTTGTTCAGCATGTGCTTCTACACGGGAGGATCCCTCGGGCCGGGAATGCCCTTGTTCCCACGCGAGTCCCAGCACCCCAAGCAGGGACTGACCACAGAGGAGCTCCATGGGCCTGGCACTACAGCAAAGCAGGTGGCACCACTGCCCGTGGTACCAGCATCCCAAACTGGAGCACTGGTTTGAGTCCTGGCTGTTCTGCTTCTAATCCAGCTCCCTGATAATAACGTGCCTGGGAAGGCAGGGGACAATGGCTGAGGTCTCAGGACCACTGTCTCTCACGCAGGAGACCAGGAGAGAGCTCTGGCCTCCTGAGCTTGGCCTGGCCCAGCCCTGGGGACTGAACCAGTGCAGTGACGCTTGCTTTCTCTCACTCTGCCTCTCAGATGAATCAATTCTGTTTTTCAATGAACTCAATAAATATCTACTTATGAATAAACAAAGCACCTGCTTTTAACTGTCCCTCCTGGCACCAGCACGGCTTGTCACATGTACTATCTCCAATGGGCTTTGGGTCAAACAGCTCCGAATCCTGGTTCTAGCTCCTAGCGACGATGCCACCTTGGGTGAGGTCACAGTAGAGGGTCACTTTAATGTGTAAAGGTCACTGAAACTCCCTGACCACTGGCTGTAACAGGCAGAGGTTAGCTGCGGCGCACGTGGAGCAGGCGCCATGTCAGGGACAGTCCTAGATGAAGAAGATCCGCCATGGCGTGGAGAGGACCAGGCAGCTCAGAGAGGACCAGGGCAGTTTTGATTTCCATTAGTTTGAAGTCATTTGGCTCAATGGGTAATGCAGAGCCATCCAAAGACAAGCCGATCACTCCAGCAGACTGCCTTTCTAGCGCAGCTGCCTGGCCTCCAGCACGGGGTGCCGGCGCCTCTCCCCAGAGGGCGTGTGTGGCACTGCTCGCACTGCGCATCCCTCATGAGCCTATCAGAGGCCCACGCCGCCTCCCTCTTAGTCTGACGCCCTGGGGCCAGCATGCTGGCAGCCTTACAGGCTTTATTTTATTTTTACTTTGAATATTTAATTATCTGCATACTATATGAAAGATAGACAAATAGAGCTCTCCTATCTGCTGGCTCACTCCTCGAATGCCCACAACAGCCAGTGCCGGGCTGGGCTGAAGTTGGAGCCTACACCTCCAGCCTGGTCTCCCTGCGGGCGGCAGGGACCTCAGCACCAGAACCGTTATCTGCTGCCTCCTGGGTGTGCATTGGGAAGCTGGATCAAAAGCAGAGTAGCCAGCACTTGAACCAGATATTTCATTCCAGGTAGCGACTAAACTGCTGTGACAAACGCCTGCCTGGCTCCCAGGTTACTGCGAAGTTAATTTGGGCAAACTGGGTTTCAGTGTATGCTAGTCATTTCCCAGACGGTCATTTACTTGTTCCCTACGAAACACTCCACAGTGTGACCTGTAGGGGGAGCTCCCGTCACAGTTTACAGCAGGTGTTTCAGCCCCCGGAAAGAGGCTCCCTCCCCAGACTGCTGCAGGTACTTGGGGTGCTTCTTTCCTTACCAAGTCCCCAGACCAGCAAGTCCAGAGGCTTGGAGGGAGCTTATGGGAGACCTTTCTTCCTGGTGACCGATTCATCTTCTGAGAATGGGCTAACAGGATTCCCTCTTAGCTGAGGACTGCCCGGCTTTGTTCCCACTCAGAAGCCCAGAGCTCCCGCTGCAGACCACCGCGTTTCAAAGGTTGGTACTCACTGATTCTTGTGTTTGAAGCCGCTGACGTGAGCTTGGTACTGTTCGATGGAGTTCAGCACTATCTTACACGTCTTGCAAGGGTAGCCCTTCCCAGCTGAAACAGATCAAAATCAACAGGCTTAGTTTTCCAACACCAGGGGCCCTGGGGGGCTGGTGCTGCTCACCGAGGCATGCAGCGGCCATTCCGAGAGCTGACGGGTGCGTACGGGTGAGGGCCTGAGAGTCACAAGGTCCCTGGACTCGGGAGCCTCCTGCCCCTTGCTCCCCATGCTGGCACAGCAGCTGGGACTGTGCTGAGCTCACTGCAGAGCAGGTGACACTGGTGTGCCAAGCAACCCCACTGACTCGCTCAAACCCTTCCCCTCCTTCACGTCACAGTTAGGTTTGCCTTCCAGAATATTCCCAGGAGGCTCATTTCTTTTTTTTTTTTTTTTTTTTAAAGATTTATTTTTATTATTATTATTATTTTTTTTATTGGAGAGGCGGATATACAGAGAGGAGAGACAGAGAGGAAGATCTTCCGTCCGATGATTCACTCCCCAAGTGAGCGCAACGGGCCGACACTATGCCGATCCGAAGCCAGGAGCCTCTTCTGGGTCTCCCACGCGGGTGCAGGTTCCCAAAGCTTTGGGCCGTCCTCGACTGCTTTCCCAGGCCACAGGCAGGGAGCTGGAAGGGAAGTGGGGCTGCCGGGATTAGAACCGGCGCCCATATGGGATCCCGGGCGTGCAAGGCGAGGACCTTTAACCACTTGCGCCACCGCGCCGGGCCCAGGAGGCTCATTTCTGATCTACAGAGTATCAGATGTGGAAGCCAAGCACAGCGACCCGTGTGAGCACGCACAGACAGTGCCCGGCCCGCTCAGGCTTGGCCGCTGACAGAGGTGGAACCAGCTGTGGCATGCCATGTGCCTGCCAGGCGCTAGCTGTACCGACAAGCACACATGACTTCCGGGCCCGTCTGCTTCAGGCACCTCTTGAGCCATCTCCCGCCCTGAGGTCCTGCAGCTTCGCAGCCAGATCGCCTTGGGGACCTCTCCGAGACCCAGATTCATGACTTGTAAAATGAGCTAATGTCAGTTACAACCTCATGAACAAAACATGACAATACATCTGACAATAGGAAGTCCTCAACAATATACATCATTTTTAAAGCAAAGCATTTTTTTAAAAAGTCATCTAGGCTGTGGCACAATGACTCAATTGGGTAATCCTCCACTTGCAAGCACCAGGATCCCATATTGATGCTGGTTCATGTCCTGGCTGCTCCACTTCTGATCCAGCTCTGCTTATGGCCTGAGAAAGCAGCAGAGGACGGCTCAAAATCTTGGGCCCCTGCACTCATTTGGGAGATCTGGAAGAAGCTCCTGGCTCCTTGCTTCGGATCAGCTCAACTTTGGCCATTTCAGCCATTTGGGGACCAGCACATGGAAGATATTTCTCTCTGTCTCTCCTCTCTGTAAATCTGCCTTTCCGATGAAAATGAAAATGAATACTTTTTTTTTTTTTTAAGGCAGATCCTTTTTTTTTTTTTTTAATCTTAGGAGGTTTATTCCAGTGGGGCAGGAACGGGGTGGAGGTGGTGGAGAGAAAAAAGGAAAAAGGGGAAACGGGGAAGGAAGCCGGAAGGAGAAGAGAGCAGCAGTTCTTTATTTTTAAGGAAGTGAGGAGAGCACTCTTTTTAAAAAAGATTTATTTATTTTTATTGCAAAGTCAGATATACAGAGAGGAAAAGAGACAGAGAGGAAGATCTTCCTTCTGATGATTCACCCCCCAAGTGACCACAATGGCCGCAGCTGCGCCAATCCGAAGTCAGGAGCCAGGAAACTCCTCTAGGTCTCCCATGTGGGTGCAGGGCCCCAAGGCTTTGGGCCGCTCTCGACTGCTTTCCCGGGTCACGAGCAGGGAGCTGGATGGGAAATGGAGCTGCTAGGATTAGAACCGGTGCCCATATGGGATCGCGGCACGTTCAAGGCGAGGACTTTAACCACTAGGCCACTGCACCGGGCCCAAAAGGCAGATTGTTAAAAATAAAAAGGAATAACTTACTGATTAAAGTTGAACACTGTTACTGAGGGACTGGAGATGTGCCCAGCAAGTTAAGATGTCACCCTTAGTGCAGGCATCCTATATGGGTGCTGGTTCAAGTCCTGGCTGCTCCACTCCTGATCCAGTTCCCTGCTAATGTGCCTGGGGAAACTGAATGACCCACATCCCTGGGCTCCTGCACCCACATGGAACAAGTTGCGACAGCCAGGACTCGGCCAGGTTGATGCCCTGGAACCCCACCCACGTCTCTCCTGTGAGCATCAGGGGCCCAAGCATCACTGCCTTCTCAGGCACATTAGCAGGGAGCTGAAACGGAAGCGGAGTAGCTGGGACTTGAACCTGCACACTAACATGAAATGCTGCCCTACTTGGTCTGACTGCCAGGCTCTACCCTGGTTCATTAGCTATAGAACTTTTATTTACTCAAAATATTAACAGAAGGAAGAAGAGGAAAAGAACAAAAGGTTAAGAGAGAAAGAGACAGGCCCAGTACAGTAGCCTAGAGGCTAAAGTCCTCACTTTGCACATGCTGGGATCCCTTGCTGGGCAACTGCTCCTGATGGTGAGCATGGGAGCTGGGATGGGGGCAGACTCCTGGGGCAGGGCTACAACACCTGTTGGTCTACATGGGAACTGGGTTAGAGGGAGAGACAGGCTGGGCTAACTGATGCTATCCACTGGCACAGGCATAAGCCAGAGTGAGGGTAGGCGGTTAGGTTTGCCACAGCATCAGGTTTCAAGTTCTAAGACTGGGGGCAAGTCCTGTGGAGCTAGACTGCAGAACCAGCTGGAGAGTGCAAGATCAAGTGAAGGGAGCGGGGCCAGGGGGAGGCTGTGGGCACCCCTCTGATGGGCTGCAACTCCCACTGGTGAGCCTGACAACCAGGACTGGGGGCAGGCCTGGCTGGACAGGTCGTGGCACCCACTAGCATGAGTGTGGGCTGCAGGGTGGAGTCAGCTGGTTTGAGTTAGGATTCAATGCCCAATGACGTGTATGAGATCTGAATGGGATGTGGGACAGACCGGACCAATCCACTGCACATGCTTGCAGGCACAGGAACCAGAGCTGGGGGCTGGTCCAGTGGGAGTACATGGTCCCCAGGCTTTGGGCCATCATCTACTGCTTTCCCAGGCTACAAGCAGGGAGTGGGATGTAAAGTGGAGCAGTTGGGACATGAACTGGTGCCCGTATTGGAGCAACTGAGTCATCATGCCAGGCCTCGGCTCCATTTCCGATCTAGCTCCCTGTTCATGTGCCTGGGAAAGCAGCAAAGATGGCCCAAGTGGGGCCTGGCTACTTAGGGAGTGAACCAGCAGATGGAAGATCTTTATCTCTCTGTTTCCTTCTCTCTGTAAATATGATTTTCTAATTAAAAATATAGATAAATCTTAAAAAAAAAAATGATGGCCCAAGTGACTGTGTACCTGCTCCCACTGTTGGAATCCTGTGTAGATTTCCTGGTATCTAGCTTGAGCCTGGCCTAGCTGCAGCTGTTGCAGCCATGTGGAGAATGAATCAGAAGATGAAAGAGCTCTGTTTCTGTCACTCTTCCTTTCAGGTAGTTAAATGAATGTTAAACAAAGGAGCCCAGGGCCAGGCATGATAGTCTGGTGGCTCAATCACAGCCTTGCATGTGCCAGGATCCCAAATGGTTCTCGGTTCATATCCCAGCTGCTCTACTTCCCACCCAGCAGGGATCCCTGCTTGTGGCCTGGGAAAGCAGTCGAGGACGGCCCGAAGACTTGTGGCCCTGCACTTGGGTGGGAGACCCAGAAGAAGCTCCTGGATCCTGGCTTCAGAGCAGCACATTTCCGGCCGTTGTGGCTACTTGGAGAGTGAGCCAGTGGATGGATCTTTATTTCTCTCTGTAAATCTGATTTTTTAAAAAAAAAATTTAAAAATTTTATATCATTTATGACAGTTTCATCATTTCAAATAACAAAAATAAAATAAAATAAAATTCTTACTAAAAACAGGAGTCCACACTACTGCAATGACTGAATCCTGCCAGTGGACATGAAATGAGGGCATGGCCAGGGGGAAGAGGCAGGAGAGAGTGGGGTCCGGTGCCAAGAAGGGAAGATCTGCTACGAGAGAGCCCTGCCCGGTCGGCCAGACACATGGTGGCCCAACACGAAGGGCGAGACAGAGCAGTCTGAGCAGCCTGCCTCATGTTTCTAGATTCCACACCAGATGGAAGGACTCCGTCAAAAGGGGAGTCACTGCCTGTCTGTGGGACAGTGAGGACGACCTGTTGTCTCCTCCTGTCTCGGGAGGCTTAGAAGGCAGGTCTTGGATGGAACTGGAGGAGCAATGCTTGCCACCGAACCCGCCTCACTGCTGTCAGCCCTTGTGTCCTCCGATTGGTCACACGTGGACAGAGGGCAGCCAGCTGCCAGAGGCCAGGTGGCTCCACAGCTGGATACTGGGAGGGGCTCGCGTGCTCACTGCCCAGGGCTGTATTTCCACGGCCTGCGAGGAGGATCGTGGTCTGTGGGAGCCCCGAGGGAGCCCCTGTGACCTGGGAACTGAGTCCTGGTCACTGCAGGACTCGGCCGGGTACACAGCATAAATAAATCTTTAAAAAAAATTACTTTAGGGCCCGGCGCGGTGGCACAAGTGGTTAAGTCCTCGCCTTGCACGCCCGGGATCCCATATGGGCGTCGGTTCTATCCCGGCAGCCCCGCTTCCCTTCCAGCTCCCTGCCTGTGGCCTGGGAAAGCAGCAGAGGATGACCCAAAGCTTTGGGAACCTGCACCCGCGTGGGAGACCCAGAAGAGGCTCCTGGCTTCGGATTGGCCCGTTGCGCTCCCTTGGGGAGTGAATCATCGGACGGAAGATCTTCCTCTCTGTCTCTCCTCTCTGTATATCTGCCTTTCCAATGAAAAAATAATAAAAATAAATCTTTTAAAAAATTACTTTAGTTGCATACTTTAACAATCAAAGAAATATATATACATGATGCCCTCTCAGGTTTTTGACAACAGTAAGATTCAGCAACAGCTATCTAGACCCAGCGAGGAGCAACTGCTCTTCAGCTCACCACATCCCTTCCTGGTTCTTGTTTAATTTCCAGCCTGGCTTCTCTAGATCTCTTGAGTTGGCAGACTCTGCTTTAGAGGGCTTGGCCCCAGGTGGCCTTGCAGCGCAGCCCCGACCCAGCCCCGGGCGTCAGCTGGAGCCCCTCACCTGCCAGGTCGGCGACAGCTGGGCCCGCCAGGCGCCCGTAGTGCGCCACGAGCTTGAGCTTGGTCTCCTGCTTCCTGTGCTTCTTGCCCATGTAGTGCTGCTGGGCCATGGCGGGGTCGTTGAAGGTGGCGTGGCAGAGGCTGCAGAACTTGTCTGGGTCTATCATCTCTCTACTCTGGTGCAAGGCTAAGGTGGAAGCCAGAAGGAAAAAAGAAGAAACTGTAAGTATTCCTAAGAGAGCAGTGGTGAGACGCTCAAACAGAAACAATGAACAGAACCCAGAGGGATGCTGAGCAGAAAGGCCGTGTCACTAGTCACACTTGCAGACGTGACACTGCGTGTGTGCATCACACGGTGAACGCTTTCTCTAATTGGGAAAACTGGGAAGACTTGGGGGAGCCCAAGAACAGCGATTTTGCTCAGCGGCTTTAGTTACTTTAGGCACACGGGAAGCCTTTGGACTTGTGTTCTTATTCCAAAGACTAAAAGAGACACATCCGCAGTCTTGTTCCTCAGATGCCCCGGAAGGTCACAGCACGTGGGACAAGAAGTTCGGGTATTTTATTTCCATCCTCAAGCCACCCCAGCCACAGAGCTGAGAACCAAGGTGCAGGAACGAGGTCAGAGGTCCTGGGGCTCAGGCAGGCATTTACAGCCCTCCAGGCTAGGGACGCCTCTGTGGTTACCCAGCAGGCGGAAGGAGCAGAGCGAGGATGGCGCTGGCACAGTTACACGGTTTGTATATACGCAGGGACTTCAAAAGCTCATGGAAAATCGGATTTAAAAATGTTTAAAAGCCATGCAGATTTTTATGAAAATCAAACACATTTTTAATGAAGTTTTTGGAGACCTTTTTCCTTTGCTCCTCAGAACTAACCAGAATCTCAAATGGGTGAAGTGATTTGCCCAAGATTATCAGCTAGGGAGTGAATCCAGGTCTGTGTGACCCAAAGCCCATGTTCTCCCTGCTGTGCCACAGTGAGGGGTACAGCTGATGCTCTCAGCTCCTTAGACATCCCTGACTCTGCCCAGTGATTTCAGTGACCGGGGCTCCTGTGGGTGCGCAGGCTCTCGGGTTGATGGCCTATGAAGTGACGCTATGGCTGACAAGCGCATGTGCCTGGAATGGTGTTAAACTAGCAGGCACTGCTTTGAAAATGCGCAGCCCAGAACTGACAGTCCTGGAGGAGGTGCAGTGTGACTCAGTGGCATGCTCAGACAGATGACACGGCGTCTGTGCTCCCCCACTCCAGACCACTTCGACCTGGCGATCTGGAGGACGGTCAGCAAGTCACAAGACGTTTGCTGGCTTTCCGCACGATGGTTTCCTGTAGAAGGAATCTCAATTTTCCTGGCCTCTAGTTTTGTTTCAGTGAGTCATTCAAAAAGTAACGAACATGTTATGGGATATTTTAAAACGCAAGAAAATGTTCATTTTGTGGTGTTCCGCTAACAAAAATATCAGTGTGCTTCTTACGTCCTTAATTTCATAAAAACAATGACAAAAGCAGATAGGTGACTGCAAGGAAAAACAGGACAAAAAGCATACAGCTTAGAGCGCTTTGCACTAGTTTTCAACTTCTCCATAAAGAAAGTTGAGTACTGGCATCAGGAAAAGAGATAATGATAGTCCTTAAAGAGATAAAGGCCATTCTTAAGAAGATATTGCAAAGAAGCACGGGAGGCGAATGGTGAAGGCTGGAGGATGCTCACTGCACACTCAGCACAAGCGGGAGCCATCAAGTCTTCTCTTGGGAAACTGAAACAGGAGAAGACCGTCCCAGCGGCATGCTTATGACTGCAGTGCGGTTACACTGGTACTTAAAGAGCCTTCTGTGGTGCTGCTTACGACACCGAGAAAGGAGGGGAGGGGTGTGAGTGTTCAATGTTAGAGGTGATAACACAAGGAAATACGTTATATTACATGAAAAATAAAAATGGCAATTATATGTATGTCATATCATCGTGAAAAGATACATGTATAATCCAAATATAGATACTGGTGTTATGAAAGTCCTCAAAAGGCATTCACCGTGTTTCTCTTGGTGGTGGAACTGGGGGATGCTTGTACCTTCTCTGCAGCTTTCCCATTGTTGGAACTGGGATTATTAATAATGAGTATGCATCCTTTTCATACAAAATTATAAGGCAATTTAAGTACTCTATGTCTAAATGTATACAGACATGGAGCTAATCTAGAAATACACAAAACAAATGTACACACAGAATCACACACATATAACGAGATTATAGGGGAAACTTTAAAAATGTTAACAATGTTTATCTCTGAATGGTAAAGTTATAGGTAATTTTTTTCTTTCCACATATCTATATTTTTAATAGTATGCCTGTATTACTTTTTATATTATGAAAAATTTTAAACCTTACAAATATATTTATATATCTATAACATAACATGGAGGGGCCAGTGTGATGATTCAATTTGCTAAACCTCTGCCCTCAAGCACCTGGATCCCATATGGGCACCAGTTCGTGTTCTGGCTACTCCACTTCCCATCCAGCTGCCTGTGTGTGACGTGGGGAAAGCAGCAGAGGACGGCCCAAAGTCTTGGCACCCTGTATCCATGTGAGAGACCCGGAGGAAGCTCCTGGTTCTTGGCTTTGCATTGGCTCAGCTCTGGTTGTTGTAGCCATCTGGGGAGTGAGCCAGCGAAGGGAAGATCTTTCTCTCCTTCTCTGTAAATCTGTCTTTCCAATAATAAAATATATATATATTAAAAATATGGAAATGTACGTTAACTACAAACCTCAGGGAAAAGTAGAAGCAGGATACACAATGGACATGCACTATGATGATGATGTAAAATGCTGCGAGCATGTGGCAAAGCCTGAGCGTGAATATGGAAAATAGCTTGTTGAGTGAGGAACTGCTGAGACCAGGCTTATCCTAGAGAAGTTCTACATTTGTGGAAACGGAACTCTGTGACCTTTAAGTTCAGCTAACACCATGACTGGCTCCAAAGGCTAGCCTCAAACAAAAGCAGGACTGAGTTCATGCTGACCTGACCAAGCAAGGCTGCTGGTGGAGGATGCCTCCTCGGTTGTTACATTTTATGGGGGAAGTTCCACTCACTGGCTATCTTAACGGTGAAGGCAGTTACGGAAACAGCGGCTGTTATTTACTGAACATCTATCGTATCCTAGGTTTTGACATGCTTTATTTTAACCTTACAATCTGAATAAATGGCTTTATTAATATTTTAGAGGTGAGCAAACTCAGAGACACAAAGAAGCCACACAAATGATAAACAACAGTGCCAAGAGTTAAGCCCGGGCGCCTGTGGTTTTCAAAGCCCACATTTTGTTGTTTCATAGCAAGTATAATGAGATTTGGGTGTACTAAAGGGCATTCACCATGAGTGATTTTTCACCCTATCTTCAAAGCCTTATAAAGCTTTGTTGTCTTGTTCTCCTAATGCTGTGGAACAAAAAGGACAGTAAGTATTACAAACAGTATAGCCTACTTCTTGGTCCAAAGTAGAGAAGAAAAAAAATGAAATAAAGATCAAAGAACTTTCACTCTTGACTAATTACAGTTAGCAGAGGTTAAAAACCCCAGCAAGTCAGGAGTTAACAAGATGAAAGAGGGGCTGGTCCCAGTGGTGAGGAGATAAAGGACACTGCTTTAGAAGTCATTCCACCGAGATGAATTCACGGCAGCTGCAAACAGCTTGCAGGGCGACAGTGGCAGCACTGAAGTACTCCACTCTGAAAGGCAAGTTCCTGTCTGGAGAAGAACCGGCAGCTTTTGAGGATTAAAGTGAGCAGGGCATAACCTGAGCATGCAAAAAAAAAAAAGACAAGGCTTTTGCTTTCAACTTGGAACATAAGAGGAGTAAGGGCAGGTGGATGCTGGGAGGGAAAACTCGAAGCGGGGATGCTCTCAGGATGTGTGCTGCCTGGAGGAGTCGGGCGCTCCCAAGGGATGACTGTTAGGACAAGAGCTTAGGCTCAGATGCTTCCGCTGAGAAAGCTGATGGAACCAAAGAAAGGGAGGTTACGTGAGCACACCTGAGGCTGCGTCCCAGGGAAGCGGGGCCTACGTGGGTGTCGATGAGGGCATTTCAAAGTCTGGTCACCCTCTTCAAGTCTGTGCCCCAGTGAGCATTTGGGGGAGCACTCAGGCAACGGTGGCTCGAGGACTGGGAGGGTCCCGATATAGCACTACTCAGGAAAACCAGTACCTTCCACCTTAGTGGATTGCTGCTTCAGCTTTAAGTTCTTTGCGTGGGTCTTCCCCAGGTAGTGCGACTGGGCCACGACAGGGGAGGAAAAGGTCATGTTACAGATGGGGCAGCACTGGTTCTTGTCTTTGCTTCTGCTGCTCTTCTGGTTGGGAGAAAGAACACAGGTCTGGTCACGCCACTGCTCCATCAGAAAATCTTTACTGGTCCCCACTGCCCAACAGGAGAGTGGGCATTTAAGGCCCCCTCACACGTGAACCCCAACCTACCTTTCTGCATTCTTCTTCCGCTATTTCATCCCAGGCTCTATTCACCACTCCTCATTTTATTCTCTGTGAGTTCCTTGCCTTGCTTGGCCCATACATGCTGTCTAGAACGTTGCTGCTTTCCTGCCTGGTCAGCTTAAGCTTCAAAGCTCTTGGTAGAAACTTTTACTCAAAAAATATAATTTAGAGGTCAGCATTGTGGCTCAGTGAGCCAGCATTCCATATGGGCACCAGTTCAAGTCCTGGCTGCTCCACTTCCAATTCAGCTACTATGCCTGGGAAGGCAACGCAGGATGATGCCAGTACTTGGCTCCTGCCATTCACATGGGACCGGTACGAAGCTCCTGGCTCCCACCTGGCCCAGCCCCGGCCATTGTGGCCATTTGGGAAGTGAGCTGGTGGCTAGAAGCACTCTCTCTCTTTCCCTTCCTTTCTGTAACTGCCTTTCAAATAAACACATCTTTTTTTGAAAAAAAGAGAAAACAAGTCAGCCAACAACTCCCCCGCCTCTTTGCAGGGTCATCCAGGAGGAGTTACCCCTGGTTCCTAGGCTGTGCTCCCGAGGGTATGGGCCCTTCCTATCCTGCCCGTGTTACAGCTCGGAGCATTTTCTGTGAACTCAAATGAACACAGCACAGGCTTAGGGCTCAGTGAACAAGCAGATCACATTAAGGTTAGTGGACATCAAGCCTGTATTAAGGGTCTCCAACCTGTCTCTGAGAAAGTTGGATCCAACAGAGTGTTCTGATGTTGGGCTTTAACAATTCTTTGTTGTTGCTGCTGGCAGTGGTGGTAGTGGGCGGTTCTGTGAGCTCATCCGAATGACCAGGCTACCCCAGGAGTTGAAGGAAGAAGGGACAAAGAGACAAAGTGACTTGCCTGAGGTCACAGAGATGATCTTGTCCTCATAAGTTCCTAAGGGTAACTAGGGGATACAGCCAGTGAGTTTCAAGGGACAAGCAAGAGCCTTCCGTACCTGTGACCGTCTTGGTAAGAGGAGGTAACCTGTGGGGTCAGCTCTTACTTACTCAGCATCTTACAGCAACTGCAGTTTCACTTCACAGTATCCATAAGAGGCAGGGTTTATTTCTACATTATGGATGAAGTTCAAAGAGGTGAAGTGACTGGCTCAAAGTCTTCCAACTGGGAAGCTAATGAGCCAGGACTAGGCTGGCTCCTCATTGCTTGACACTTGCAAAATTCCTACAGGGACAGAAATAACGCTCCTCTTGAGGAGCTTAGTTATTCAGCATAATTCTCACAGTATTTTGGGCCAAAAATAAAACACTTTTACCTTTCAATCAGAGCATGTATGTGGAAACTTTTCTTTCCTCTTGTTTATTCAACACATTCAAATGCCAAACTGTTTTTTCTCCTCTGGCTCTCAAGAAAGCAAGTGGTCTGAGTTCTTCCAGCCTTCTTGCTTCTTGCTTCTCTGCACTAAAGAACCACTGGCTGAGGAGAACATGTGACAGTGGCCCCCGCCAGCTGCGTGCTCAGTAGGGTGTCAGGCTCCAGGGTGGGTGCTTTCTATTAACTTTTCCTAGTTTTTCAGTTTGGAGAAATCCTGAAAGGTGGCCGAAATTAGCATCCTAATTTTGCAGAGGAAGGAATCAAGACTCAGAGATGTCCTAAGACTCGCCGAGTCACACAGAGAGGGGATTCGCGGGCCGAGTCAGCCTGCCTCGAGGGCCCACACTCCTCCACCACACCAACCTGCTTGCAGGCTGCGTGAGGAGGCGAGCGCTCTCCACACGGCAGCTGTGTTACCTGCTCTGGGTCTAGTCGCTTCGGCTCCCCCTTGAGTGTTTCCATCCCGTGGATTGCAAGGTATCTCTTCACTTTGTTGGCATGCTTTTTGCTCTGCAGGAATTCAGGAGAAAGATCAAAGATAGCCAAATGCCATTTCAAATTTAAGGCACTCAAAATCACTCACTAGATTTTCATGATGATTCATCCTCAAAAACTTCTGAGGAAGAGAGTAGGGGGCAAGACATTTAGTTCACTGAGTTCCAACTTGATCGAGGCATTTTACATGCTATTAACTTGAATCTCCACACGAGTCTATGTGCAAGTTATCATTTTTCTTTGTAAGGTTGAGATTGAGGTAGAAGTGGTGAAGTTAGTTTCCTGGCCAAGATGAGTATCAAAGCTGTGACTCAAGCTAGGGTCTATTTAAAGCAAACTCGTACTTTCTACGGTACTGAGATGCAAGGGAAGTTATACATACAGCAATCCTGATTTTGGCTGGGAGAAATGAGCCAGAGGAAGGAAGTGAATCTTTGAAGTCACAAGCCAATATGCCCGAAGGCAATGTCTGAAGAGCTAAGGAGGAATTCTACTTCACAGCGGGAAGACTGGGAGAAGTGGGGCTTGGCGCTGGGTCTGAAGAGTGGAGTGGCTTACCTGGTAATGGGCCAGCTTCTGGGACTCCGAGATCAGCAGGGCGCAGCAGACTTTACACTGGGTGTCGGTGAAGAGACACTGATTCTTTTGGATCATATGCTCCACTGCAGAGGGGAGATGAAGAAGCCCTGAGCGGACAGACAGCAGCAGCTCAAATCATCACTCCTGAGCACGCCCTCTAACACGGGCACCGAGTCACAGGCTGCCACACCAGTGCAGCAGCCAGACTTTACTCCTCCTCGCCTGCTGCCGTCTCATGCCATGTCCCCACACCAGCTGCCTCGCTACTAATGTCACAACCACGCCAACTTGCTGTACTTAGCAACTTCTCTTTATTTATTTGAAAAGGAAAGAGAGAGAGAATTTACTTTCCAAACTTCCTGCAATACCTGGGACTGGGCTATCCTGAAGCCAGGAAAGAACTGAGTTCAAGTCTCCCACGTGGGTGACAACTTGAGATTATTTGTTGCTTTCCAAAATGTGCGTTATTAGGAAACTGGATCGGAAGCGGAGACAGAACTCAAGCCCAGAGGCTTCTACAGAAGATGTGGCCATCCTAAGCAGTGCCTTAACCACTAAACCAGATGCCGGCATTCCCCTCTCACTTTCCCAGAGACTGTGTTTTTTAAAGATTTATTTATTTTTATTGGAAAGGCATATCTATAGTGAGGGAGAGAAAGACCTGTCCGATGGTTCACTCCCCACGTGGCTGCAACAGCTGCAGCTTCATCGATGTGAAGCCAGGAGCCAGAAGCCTCCTCAGTGTCCCCTACGCAGGTGCAGGGTCCCAAGGCTTTGGGTCATCCTCGACTGCTTTCCCAGGCCACAGGCAGGGAGCTGGATGGGAAGTGGAATTGCCTGGACACGAACCAGCATATGGGATCTGGAGCATTGCAAGGTGAGCATTTAACCACTGGCCATTGTACTGGGCGGTCCTGGTGACCCCTCCCCCCCTTTTTTTAAAAAAAGACAATTCTTGAATACTGCTGCCAGAGGTTTGGAACACCCCCTCAGAAGAAGAGATCTGAAGTCACAGAGGTACCCAACTGAGACTTAGAATCAGGAAAATGAAAAGCCTGGGAAAGGTCAGTGTTGTGGTAGTGCGAGTTAAGCTGCTGCTTGTGATGCTAAGTTCCCATATTAGAGTGCCACTTTGGTTGTCCCTCTTTCCTCTCGCTTCCTGCTAATGTGGAAAAGCAGCAAAAGACAGCCCAAGTGCTAGGGCACCCGTCACCCAAGTAGGAGACATGAAGCTCCTGGTTCCTGCCTTCGGCCTGCCTAACCTTGGCCACTGCTGTCATTTCAGGACTGAACCAGCAGGTGGAGTCTCTCTCCTGTTTTCTGCCTTTGCATCCATCCATCCATCCATCCATCTATAGGATATATATGTATCCTAAAGAAAACCTTGGAAAGAGAATACTTATTTCACTGTTTCTGATCTAACTTTGAGGCATCTATTGCACAAGTCTCACGCTACAGAAAACACGGTATTAATCTGTGCTTAATTGTCGGGCTCAAAGAACAAAGCTTTACTTCTTTAAGGCAGAGGCAGAAATCTCCCCCAAGGTATTGGTTTCTTCAGACACCATAATGGAACGGAGACAGAGGCAGAGCCCGGGGGCAGGAGGGCGGAGGAGTCCACTGCTTCTTAATTCTTAGTCCTGACCGTCCAGTGACCACACTGCCTGGGAGAGAGGTGCTCGATGGAAACCTTGACACCCTTCCACATACCACGTACCTGAACTTAGCTGGGCAGCCTTTATGGGCAGAGGGGCTATTGCCCGGCTCTGTTTCTGTCCCTGAGCATCTCTTGTTTACCTTCCCATTTTTATCTTACAGTGTTCTGGTAAACATTTGAGAAAGACTTTGCCTGTCTCAGCTGTGTTCAGCCAAACCAAGGCCAGTGAACACAGCTGGGTTATCGTGCTGGCTCCGAGTCAGAACTTTTAAAAGGAGGGTGGAAGACTCCAGAATGGAAGCCCAAGGGAGAGGCAAGAGAGAGGGGTGGATCGTGGGCATCAAAACACAGACAGACGGACTACATGCTGGTGTTTCATAGCACTGCATGGTGTCTATGAATTACACTGATGTTCAAGACGCTGAATAAAGAGCCGGGAAAGTCCAAACATAAACATAAGGAAACAGGATTGCTGTCTGATTTACACTGCATACATGCTGAAATATTACATAGCATGCCCTAAAAATAAATGTTACACGTTAAACGATACATATGTCTTTGGATTTATTTATTTATTTAGATCGCCAATTCAGATATGGAGAGAGGAGGAGAGACAGAGAGGAAGATCTTCCGTCTGTTGATTCACTCCCAAAGCGGCCACAACGGCCTGAGTTGAGCTGATCTAAAGCCAGTTGCCAGGAGTTCATCTGGGTCTCCCATGTGGGTGCAGGGTCCCAAGGGCTTTGGGCCATCCTCGACTGATTTCCCAGGCCATGAGCAAGCAGCTGCATGGGACATGGGTTGGCAGAACCAGAGACAGTGCCCATATGTGATCCCGGCACGATCAAGGTGAGGACTTTAGCTGCTAGGCCTGGATTTATTTATTTTTATTAGACAGAAGGAGAGAGAAAGAACTTCTGGGCCCCGATGTGAAAGCGTAGTGGTTAAAGTCCCCATCTTGCACACATCGCGATCCCACATGGGCACCGGTTCTAATCCCGGCGACCCCACTTCTCATTCAGCTCCCTGCTTGTGGCCTGGGAAAGCAGTGGAGGCTGGCCCAAAGCCCTGGGACCCTGCACTCACATGGGAGACCAGGATGAGCTCCTGGTTTCTGGCTTCAAATTGGCTCAGTTCCAGCTTAGGAAAAAAAAAGAGAGAGGGAGAGAAAGATCTGTCTGCTGCTTCGTTCCCCAAAGGTGTTCACCACTGAAGCTGAGTTGATCAGAAGCCAGAAGCCAGGAGCTTCTTCTGGGTCTCCCACATGGGTGCATGGTCCCAAGGCTTTGGGTTGTCCTCTATTGCTTTCCCAGGGAGCTGGAAGGGAAGTGGAGCAGCTGTGACAGGAACCAGCACCCATATGGGATCCTAGTGTATGCAAAGCAAGGACTTTAGCCACTAGACTAATGTGCTGGGGCTACATGTTAAGCAAAAAAAATTTTTTTAAAGATTTATTTATTTATTTATTAGAAAGTCAGATATACAGAGAGGAGGAGAGACAGAGAGAAAGATCTTCCATCTGATGATTCACTCCCCAAGTGACCGCAATGGCTGATGCTATGCTGATCCGAAGCCAGGAGCCTCTTCCAGGTCTCCCACGCAGGTGCAGGGTCCCAAAGGGGAGAGGGCACAGAGGGTTCACAGAGCAGGTATCTCCTGCTTGCCCAGAGATTTTGTATTTTTTAAGCTATTTTTCATTTGCTTCTATTTTAAGACTTATAATATTTTTATTGGAAAGGCCAATTTACAGAAAAGGAGAGACAAAGAAAAAGATCTTCCATCTGCTGGTTCACTCACCAAGTGGCCACCACAGCCAGAGCTGAGCTGAGCTGAAGCCAGGAGCTTCCTTTGAGTCTCCCATGCGGGTACAGGCTCCCAAGGCCTTGGGCCTTCCCAGATTGCCTCCCTGGGCCACAAGCAGGGAGCTGGATGGGAAGTGGAGTAGCTGGGATATGAACTGGTACCTACACAGGATGCTAGCACATAAAAAGTGAGGACTTCAGCCACTAGGCTACTGTGCTGAGCCCAGATTTTCGATTTTGTTTTGTTAAAGCTAATGAGGCTTTCTTTTCAAGAATTTCAGAGTTTAACTGTATAAAAATAAAGAGGGCAGGGGCCATGTCACTCATGACTTTCTTTTCTCATAATCTAGACTAATTCTAAACCTCTAATATATATATATAATGTTATCCTCGCAACAGGCAGCTGGTGAGGACAGTGTGATGGCCCGCTAAACAGACGGGGTACCCCCTCCTTGCTGGAACCTACTCTCTGGCCCCACAGAGATTCCCACAGTCTGTACACATACACTCATGGAGCCTTCTACATGCCAGTTACCAGGCCTGGAGCTACAGCACAAAGTAAGAGAGAGGGTTAAGTACGGCTGGAATATGGCGAATGGAGGAAGAGTGGCAGGAGATAAAGACGTGACCTAGAAGATCACGCTGGGCGGCCATAACGCCTCAGAAGCCACAGCAGGAACATGGCTTGGGTTCTGGCGTGAAGGAAAGTCACAAGATCCGGTTTGTGCTTTGTAAAGGATCCTCTGATAGTTGCATCAACAGACTGTACAGGGACAGGAATGGAAGCAAAACGTCCGTGCGTGAAGGCCACGCGGAGAGGCCCTGACGCATGCAGGGACAGACGCGCCTGGCCAGCCTCCACAAGTTCCAGCCGGCATCTGACTGCCAACTGAACAAGAGACGCTGAGTGACAACTGTCCAGTCTATGGCGATTTCCTAACCCATTTACAAGGCTGCAGGGGGCTAGACAAAGCGCACCCAGGGACAAGGAGCTTTCAGGAATGACCCGCCTCGTGAGACGAGAACCTGACCGCACTTGTCTGTTGTTCAGGCATACTACAGCATTTTCCAATCAAACTAAATCTTTAAAAAAGGAATATCCAATATGAAGGACAGCAACAGCAGCAAAGTTAAAGAAAATGCACAGAGCTTCAGAGGTCACAGAACAATACCAGGGGGCTGCAAGAGATTCATAGAAAAGTGAACAGACATTGCATATGCATGAATTCCCAACTCTTCGTACTCACATTTTTTTTTTTTTTACTTTAAAAGTATTTGTTGACAGGCGTGCACACACATACACACACTCAATCACTAGTTCATTCCACAAATGCACAAAACAGCCAAGGTTGGGAGCCAGGTGCTCAGTCCAGGCCCCCAGCAGTGGGTAAGGATCCAGTCACTTTGCCCTCCCTGTTACCTGGCAGGGTTGGCATTTGTAGCAAGTTGGAGTCAGGAGCCAGAGCCAGGCACTACAATGTGGGAGGGCAGCAGCTTTAAATTTTTTTTTTATATTGCAAAATCAGATATACAGAGAGAAGGAGAGACAGAGAGAAAGATCTTTCGTCTGATGATTCACTCCCCAAGTGACTGCAACAGCTGGTACTGTGCCAATTCGAAGCCA